ACAAAGATACAGAAAAGTGAAAAAAAGTGAAAAGCTCAACGTGAAGTGTCCTGACTCCAAAAGTCGCTTTCCTAACTTCCGCATTAAATTACCAAATATACAAATGAATAATATGAATTAAATGAAACAATTATACACAGTAAAATATAAGTATTTTGAGGAATACTAAAAGGATAACAAACATGAAAGTCGATAACAGTTCACCAAATCTGATTTTCTGACAGCGAGGGTCAAGAAATTAAAATAGCTATTCTGGTGAAGTTTTTTTTTTTTTTTAGTTGATTTTTCTGCGCTTTGGCCGATTTTATAGCACTTATAGCAAGCTCCACGCCGCTGGTATTAAAACTCAATATAAAAACACGATAAATCAGCCACACTATTGTTGTAAAAGCTGCCTCGCCCGCGGGCTTTTCTTTTTTTTCTTACTGCGAGGAGCGATTGGGAGAGCGAGCGCGGGGAGCGATGGGAAGGAAAAAGTTTCCCCATGATTCCCGCGCCCTTTTACCTTTTACTATCGCACAGTGGGATTGGGGACGAGGAAGTTACTGAGAGTCCTGAAAGACTGTAGCCTTTCTTTACAAGTACTCGCACCAGAATTTGGACACAGTGGCCATGCTTGGGTGCACTACAAAGTCTTCACCGTGTACTTTGGAACTAAATGGTACTTGTGTACTTGGAATATCACTGTCTGAACGCAACACTATTTTGTTGCGGTGCCCAGGCACCAGTGCTCGGCACCAAATGTGAACACAACCTTAGGATCAGACCTCTGTGGATGGACCTCGAATTCGAACTTATAGCACGGTGTTGGAAATTGATATCGCTGCAGCCAATACTCCTGGCATTCTTGTCTAAAGTATCCTGTAGTTTTGTAGAATTACCCTGAAGAATTTTCAGACATCACCTAAATTACACCTATCAGTTTTAAGTTCTTTGGATCCCAAGTCCACTGTTTGAAATACCTAAATGGCAGGGTATCGGTGAAAACAACACCAATACAACAGTTTCTCAAATCAAAAACACGGGAATTCATGCAAACAAAGGGTCAATTTTATTCCTATACTTATGTAACGAAACTTATCTGTGAGAATCAGGGTACAGGTACGTACTCTGAGATCAAGGATGTTTCAATCCCGTTTGTATCAAGAATTTTTCTTTACCTCTGAATTAAATTACATCTCCCCAGGAAATCATCTGTCAAGTAT